TAATCCAGGTACTATCACTTTTCAGTCCTGAGAACAAGATTTTGAAATAGCTATTGCTAAAGAAAACAGTCACTGTTTATTTTATTGCACGTTTCCTCTTTACAGACATTCAAATACACACTGTGAGGATGGAGCTGAGCTTTGGTGGGAAGGGAAGTGAAAAGAAGGGAAATGTGAACTCGATTAGTTTGAGGAAGAGACCCATCTGCCATCCACCTGTCCCCACTTGCTGCTTTGATGGGGGAGGAGGGCTGGTCTCAACAAGGGCTACGTCTGGGGACACAGATGATGGTCACAATAGCCATTGGACACCTCCCTGCATCCAGTGCCCTGCTAGTTGGCTCAGATGGCTAATGATCCTAATGAAGTTAGGGTCATGGGTTCAAACCTGGCAACGGACAGTTTGCCAAGACTGGGGAACCCTCCATTGTGTTGCCAAGGTGCACCCTGGCCGCACAGTCCACATGGACCCGCCCTCTCAGACCAGGCAGCCATTGTCCAGATGAAGGCTCATGCAATGCCCCCCAGGAGAGCCAGAACTGGAGCAGGGCTCCCCATCTCCACTCCTGGGTTCACAATTCAGACAGTGCTCTTCCTGCCTGACATGGGGGGTACGGCACCTCCTCATGCAGTTTGCTAACTGTCCTATTGTTTCCGTTGGAGGTCAGCTTCCAGCTCTCTCCTCCACTACTCGATTAGTGACAGCACCGAACCCCCAGCCTGAGCGCCTTCCGAAGGCATTGCCCCTTCTCGCCAAAGACCTCACTATGACGGAGGTCTAGAAAGAGCAGACAGGACGCACAAGCCCTACAGTGCTCCCCACACAGGGCGGCCACGTGGGCACCAGGCTGGGGGCTCAGGCCAGCATAGCTTTCAGGGAAGCCCTTTCCACATCGACCATCGGAGTCTGAACCCCCCCCCCCCCCCGGGCCCCTTTAGAAACTCTGACCTCCTGGTGACACTCCTGCTCCACCCTCAGAAGGCCAGTTGAGAGGGGCAGAGGAGGCAGCAGAGTGGACGGAAGAGAGCGTCAAGCGCCACAGAAGTACCAATCCTTCATTACGCCCTTCACTGAATTTCGGCTCCTGAGGAGTTGACTCTGAAGTCTGACCAGCTCAGTGACCCTCTCTTCCTGACAACCTGCCCACCTTTCCTGGACTTCTTTCTCTTTAGCCTCCTGAAAACTCCAACTTACTTGATAGGTTGACTCTGCAGAGGCACCTGCTGAAGCTAAAGGGAAAATTGCTACTTGACTTGGAAATACTCGAAAGGCCAGCATTTTGCACTAATTGTGACCATTTGGACCCATCCATCTGGCCCGGCTGCTTTGCTTTCCCTCCATGGAGACCAGGAGCTGTGCTGGTCATTAGGAGAGCAGGGTAGGAACACCTGCAGGAGTAAGACCGCGATGCCTGATTCAATGCCTGACTTCAACTCCCAACATCCACTTGAGGGGCAGCCTTTGCCAAAATGCACCCAGCTCCTAGACAGTCCTCCTGGTGGGAAGAACCTGCTCTGTGGGCAATCCAAAACCGTGGGTCATCTTACAAAGCACTGAATTCGGGCCTTAGAATCAAAATCAGGCTCTTTAAAAAATGGTTGTCATTTGCTTGTGCAGCCTTAGGTTTGCCTTTAATCATGCTTCCCTTAGGCTGGATGGTGTGCAGTTGGTTCTTCCAGATGCAGCACCTGGATGGGAGGCAGGGCATCCAGGCGGAGCCCCGGTGAGGGGGAGGAGCATGCCTATGATTGGACACCACAGAGGGGACTCGGGAGTGGACCCCGCTGGACTCATGCCCAGGAGCAAGGGAGATGCCACAAGCAGGTGAAGGAGGCTCATTTTAAGAGATAAATCTGTAAGTAGTCTCGACTTTCTGACCAGGCCCCCACAGCGCCACTGGAGTTGGAGGGGCGAAAAGGTCCGTGGACCGGGAGCATGTTGGGGCATCCTCACTCTGGTTCTGGGCCCAGGACTCTGCAGTTTCTTGAACCATCACTGCTTTTAACAGAATGGGTCTGAATCCAGAGATCCCAGGGGTTGGGAGCTGGGGAGCCTGGGCTACTGGGTTCTCTGTGTAGACTGGCTTTGAAGGCAAGGGCATGGCAAGCAGGTGTAGTGATAGGCCGCCAGCTGTCCCAGGTCGTTCCACACTCTGAACCTGGGTTTTTGGTGAGAGGAAGGTGAATGGGTAGAAACCCCATGAGATTCCCAGTCTTAATCACAGATCTTCTTGACAGTGGTGGCCCATCTTTCTGCTTTAAACCTGGGGGGTTACTTCTATGAAATCTGGGGGTGAGAGGGAGAGAAGAGACTAGAGGAAGAGACTTCTTGAAGGATACTGAGGGGTATAGACACAGGCTAGGGAAAGGCGATTAAATCTAATCTTTCGTTGGTACCTAGTAATTTATAGCTCCGAGGGCAGAGCAATGGATCTGAGTATACATACTCATTCCATGTATGTTGTGGGTTCTTGGTTGTGTGTGCTGCATTTTGTGTGTCTTATATGAGTAAATGCATTATGTGTTTAAACTGAGTTTGTGTATATTTTGTGTGCAGAACAATAGCAAATTATCTTTCTGTATTTCGTATGCAGACTCACATTCATGTAGTTTTTGTGTATTTTGCACCTGGTGGCAGGTCATGCCCTTGTACATGGTACATGTAGGTCTTTGTACATGTTCTCTATTGGTAAGTCCATTCTATGTCTTTGCATATTTTGGATATGGGTATAACCATGCATCTTCTGTGTATGCCCTTGTCATTAATTTGGACTCTGTGTATTTTGCATGTATGTTGCATGTTTTGTCTTTGTGTATGTGGCAACAGTGTACCCCTTTTGTGGTGGGTGTGCATGCACGTGTGCCTGTATGTGTGGACAGTTTGTAATCCCAGGTCAAGGACACCCTTGACCTAGGCCTTAGGTACGGGCTGGGTTCCTCCCGCCCCATGTCTTGGAAGTTCAGCACCATCTCCCATGAGGAGAGGAAGAGAAGCACTGAGGTTTTGCGCTGGGCCTGGGATGCCCTGCAGACACCTGGGGATGTGGGTGACCAGGAACTAATGAGCACCCTGGGCCTAGCACCCTGAGCTGGTGCCCCACCCCCAAGGTTACTGTAGGTGCTAAATAGCCAACAGCGAGGCTAGGGCTGGAGCCACGATTGGGCAGGCCAACCGCACAACTCACTGTGTTTGGGAAATTTCAGCTATTATATTGAAAGGCGAAGAAGCCCGGCTGTGAGGCACAGCCGCCCCCCTCACCCCATTCCAGGGCCCGCTCAACTCTGCCTGGAGGCTGTGCAGTGCTCAGTCACTCTCAACCTCTTCTGGGGGTGGGGACTGATCCTCTACCCATCCTTTGGTTTGTTGAAGCAGCTCTGGTTGCCAATTTAATAGGGAGAGAGTCTGAGCCTGTCAACCAAAATGATGCCTGTGGCTCATCTAGGGTCTCCACCCTTGATCCTGGGCTTTAGAAGTTTCCCCATAGAGGAGGCTCCCTTTAAGTCCAGACCTCTGGAAGTGGGTCCCCAGAAGCCCTCCTCGCTGGTGTCCTTGGTTTCAAAGCAGGTGATCCACTCTGGCCCTCTAGGGAAAGGCTCATGAGAGGGAGTGATGCAGAGCCCATGACAATGAAAACAGGTGGGGTGGGAAAGGTGAGAATGGAGACGGTTACCGTGAAGGACTGTAGAGAGGAGGCCCGGGGTGGGGCTGGCCCAGGACCGCTGGAGCCGTGAGGGCTGTAGGGCCCTTGTGCACTCAGTAGACAAGCCTCAGCCATGGGAAACTGAAGCTGCAGCACGTGGAGGGCAGAAAGACAATTCTAACGTCTAAGAGTCCATGGAGACGGGAGTCTCTGAGGCAATGGCAGCAAACCCAGGCCCAGTGGGGTTACCGATGAGATCAGTTAACCCATCAGGCCTCTTAGATAACCAACCCACCAAGCAGTGGATTTGCTCCTGAACCTGAACTCCAGAGAGTGAATATATATGTGAGTGTGTGTGCATATAAACATACACACACGTATGTATATGTGTACATATACATACATACACTATAGTGCACATAGTCAAACACATGCATAAATTGCCCTGTGTCAAAAATATTGCATAAGCTTATACAAGGTTCAAATGCAATTGTTTCTAGAGCTAGCTAGGTAGAGGAACTCATGAAAGAGATATTTGATATATATATTTATATACACTGGATCCACAGACCCGCCTTCCTCAGGACCGGATGCCCGGGTCAGCTGTACAGTCATGCCCATGGCTCAGGTCGTTCCCAAGGTGCAGTCACGTGAGGTGTTTAGATGCTGCCTTCCCTGCTCACTCTCCTGGCTTTGCCCCAGTTGGAAGAACAGTTGGGCTGGAGGGCCAGAAGTTTGGGTCCCCATTCCAAATAGTCTATTTTTTCTCCTGATTGAGGGAGGGCTTTTATTTTCTGATGGGGGAAAATAAAAACCCTAGTTCAATGCCATTCCTAGGCTATTAATACTCTAAATGTGAATACTGTGTAGGCTACTAAGAAAACAGGTTATCTCCTGTGTTTTAAATATTGAGATTCATGCAACAAACCCCCATGCAGCTCTGTTGCATCACTGGGAAATTTCCCTGCAGTGTCAGTGTAGCTGGGCCACAGCACTAGGAAAGCAGACATCTGCAAACTCCTGTGCAACGAAGAAATTGGACGTGCGTTTGTGACCCTAAATCCTGCAAAAATGGTGAAATCTGAAGCAGAGGTCCCTGGGTTTGTTAGCTTCTCCCCATAGGCCTAAGGGAACAAATGTGAAACTTGACAACTCACGATCGGTCACTAACTGTCCCTCCCCCGGGCTTTCCTCTCTCATCGACACTGCAGAGAAAAAACCCAATGCAGCATTTTCCGTTATGAAACACAAGCCTCCGGAGCATCTACTTGGCAGCTGCAATTCGCAGACCCCAGCCTGTGACCAAGAAAGAAATTCCCACACACAAGACCCTGTGCTCTTTTCTATGCAAAATGGGAATGGCCTCTCAGGTATTACCAGCACTTTAAAGCTAAGCCACCATGGTTCTCCTCTGTGCAGGTGGGCTCAGATGGGTGGGGATGCATCTCCTGAATACTGTGTGCCTTTAATCAGGAAGGAAAGGTGGATCTCATGTTATGTATGTGCTGTGAGGTGGCCTCAAAATCCTGGCTCCATAGGCGATTCCCATCTTTGGAAACCCCTAAGCCGGTGATAAAGATTCGCATGAAAGCCATGGATAGCTATTCTGTGTTCTAAATCAAAAATCAAAAGATCAAAAGTCACTTGCACGACTATTGCTTTCCATGCAGAACCAGATACACACTGAGGAACAGACTGACTACAATGCAGGCTATTATGCAATATCTGCATTTAGTTCCATTGAGCTGGGAGTATGTTAATAGGTTGCAATCAGACATCGGTTAACATTTTGGTAATATTCACATAGTTTGTATTAGCCAAAGTGCAGTTGGCCGTTTTCAAGTTTTCCTCTCTGAAGTCCTCATTACTGTTATTCACCCCCTCCTGGATCTCCATGTAATCGGACTTACTAATGGTCGAGGCACTTCTACTTTTCTTTAGGTCGGGGGAGGATGGGATCTTTGGACAGCTTGTCACTTGCAAGTACTGGGCCTGCTCCTCTCCCTCTGTCTCCCGGTGGTAGAAGTAGTTGAAATTGGACACTATGACGGGGACTGGTAAGGCAATGGTTAACACACCTGCAATCGCACACAGGGAACCCACGATCTTTCCCCCAATGGTAGTTGGGACCATGTCTCCATAGCCTACAGTTGTCATGGAGACGACTGCCCACCAGAAGGCATCCGGGATGCTGGGGAACTGGGAGTCTCGCTCATCGGCCTCAGCAAAATAGACAGCACTAGAGAAGAGGATGACCCCAATGAAGAGGAAGAATATCAGGAGGCCTAATTCTCTCATGCTGGCTTTGAGGGTCTGACCTAGGATCTGGAGACCTTTGGAGTGTCTGGACAGCTTGAAAATCCTAAAGACTCTTACCAACCGGATGACACGGAGGATGGCCAGCGACATGGCCTGCTGGCCCTGCTGGGCATCCTCTGGCTTCTCCGCCAGCTCCGTCCCCAGGGTGATGAAGTAGGGGATGATGGCCACAATGTCGATAATGTTCATGATATTGGTGAAGAAGCCGGCTTTGCTGGGACAGGCAAAGAACCTCACCAGGAACTCGAAGGAGAACCAAATAATGCAGAGCGTTTCCACAATGAAGAAAGGGTCGGTGAAGGAAGTCGACTGCTGGTACCCAATGGTGCTGTTGGAATAGGTGTGGAAGGTCACTCCCCCGCCATGCATGTCTTCGTTCTCGTCCCGGAATATAGGCAAGGTCTCCAGGCAGAAGCTGACGATGGAGATCAAGATCACCATGACAGATACAATAGCTATAATCCTGGCGGGCCCTGAGCTCTCTGGGTATTCGAAGAGAAGCCACACCTGTCTCTGAAACTCATTTTCAGGCAGAGGCCGCTCTTCCTCTTTGATGTAGCCTTCGTCTTCCCGAAACATCTCCATTGCTTCTTCCCCCAGCTCATAAAATCGTATTTCTTCTGAGAATATATCTAAGGGCACATTCACGGGTCGCCTCAGCCGGCCCCCAGACTGGTAATAGTAGAGGATGGCGTCAAAGCTAGGGCGGTTCCGATCGAAAAAGTACTCGTTTCGCAGGGGGTCAAAGTACCTCATCCGCTTCTTTGGGTCTCCTAAGAGAGTCTCTGGGAACTGGGCTAAGGTCTTCAGCTGGGTCTCAAACCGCAGCCCCGAGATGTTGATCACCACCCTCTCACAGCACTCGTGGTCGGCCTCTGGGTCGTAGGTGTCCTGTGGGTGCCCAGGGAGGGCAGCAGCCTCGTCCGCTGGGTCTCCGGTGGCCACTGTCATAGTTGGGACCAAAAAAGGCGCCTCACGCTATGCCTTCCAGCTGCCTGGCGGCAGGGAGCTCAGGGTGCTGCTGTCGGCCCCAGGAGACACCGGAGCATGGGCCTGGGCTCCCGCTGCAGAGCCCCGAGGGCTCTCCGAGAGCCAGAGATACAGCTTGGCTGAAAGACAGAAGCAGTTAAGGACATGAGGCCACTCAGCATTGGCAGCCCAGCCTGGGTGGCCAGTTTGTGTTTGCCATATCTCAGACAAGAGTTCAGAAGCATGGCCACCACCGAAAAGCAGAGATTAATTTCACCTCATAACCTGGCTGGGATCATAGGGGAAGAGCAGGTGGCTGTCTCTCAAGAAAGCTTGGGAATGCCCTGAACTAGGGGAAGGAGGCAGTACAGACCCCCTCTGCACCGCACGCAGGAGCATAACCCCATACTAGAGACTGGAAGAGAGCCTTCCTGCAGTTACCTGCACCCTGGGAGGCATTCCTAGTGGCAGATCTTGGACCTGGGTCTCCCTCACTACCCCCACCTCAGTGACTCCACACATGGCTGTTATTAAATAACAGGCTGATTTACCTGGCAAGGCAGGGATCTGAAGCTCTTGCAGAGCTGATCAGATGGTAAGGGAATCCTAGCTACACAAACAGGCAGCCTGACTCCCCATCACGTTCTCGCACTTGAGCTAGAAATAATGGTGAGTCATTCTGGGCAGGAGGGCAGGCTCCAGGTCTTGGAGGTGAGCTCCAGGTCTGGGCTGGGCTGGAGGATGCAGTGGGGAGCCTGGTCAGGAGCACGCAGGGTTCCAGGACAGCTGCGCTTGGGTCTGGAGCCTTTGGAAGGAAGGAGGCGAGATGCAAAGGTCAGCAAAAGCCGGAGTCCTCAGGAGGTGTGATGTTGCCTGGAAAAAACAGCAGCCAGGTGGAACCAGGGCTTTGGGGCAGCTGGTGCCAAGCTTTAGGAGGGCTCTGGCATCCTCCCACCCATGAGCCCTTTCATTGTGGTGTCACACCTGAGAATCCCCTTGGTCTCCCAGCCTGTCTGGGCAGGCTTCCATCAGCTGGACGCATTTTCTCCCAGGGAACAAGCCTTCAGGCTTGGCTGGGACTGTCTCCTCCAGGGCCTCTCGGGGCTCAGCCAGACCCCTGTTGGTCCTCAGCAGCCATCAGGAGGCACTCTGGGCAAAGCCCTCCCACCCCAACGCAGGACACAGCATCTGGAAAGGGGAGAGCTTCCTACCCTGCAGCCTACTATAAACTCTGACCTCCGCAGGGTCCTGGAGGAAGGAGAGTCCCACAACCCCCCAACACACACTCCTTCAGTGGTCTACAAAACTGGCTGGCTTGGGCCCAGGGCTCATTCGCCCTCGAGTATCCCTAGGCTGCAGGCCTCCCTCCAGGCGCTTGGCGTTTGAACTGGGCAGGTTCTGGGCCACCGATTTCTTCCCAAGAGAAAAAGCCCTCCCATCTCCTGGGCAGGGAGGGCAGAACGGACGCTCAGTCAGCCTGGCTAGCAGCAGCGAGAGGGGAGCCTGGAGGAGGCCAGCTTCCGAGCTGGGCCCCCTGCCCGCCCCATCCCGCCCCCTATTCCTCCGGCCCGAGGCAGGGAGGGGTCTGCGCTCTCCTCCGCGTCCCGGCCCCCCCGACCGGGATTCCACCGGGCACGCTCTGCGCTCGGCTCCGCGCGGGCGGCCTAGACTCACCAGCTGGCCGCCGCAGCCAGCGCCACCTTAACCCTCTCTTGCCCGTTCCGTGGGAGCTCTTGTTGCGGGCCGAGCTCAGCCCGGTTCTTTTGCCCTTGGGGTCCAGCCGAGGAACCACCGAGGCTCCATCCCCATCTCGTAAACACTGGGGCCTGAACTCTGGGGTCGAGGAGCAGGCGGCCTCCCCAGACCTCAGCCTCCTCCTGAGCGCGGAGGCTCCGTGGCAGCCCGCGGCCCCGGGGAAGCGGAAAAGCCCTCTCGGCTGCAAAGCCGTGTTGATCCCGAGCCGGAGAGGAGCATGCAGCCCGGCCGTCCCAAGCGATTCGGGTCCCACCACCTGGCGCTATTTACCAGACACCGCTGTGCTGTGGCTGCACTTCGCATCACCCGCCAGCTCCCTGCTGCACCCTCCGCCCGCGCCACGCACAGCCCGGAGGGTCCCCGCGCCCAGCCGGGGTTCTCTCCTCCCGCAGGGCGCCAGCCCCTCGCTCGCCCGGCCCGGCCCAGGCTCTCCCGCCCGGGACTCAGCCCGAGCCCGCCGCGCTGCAGGCTGCGCCCGGTGCCCCGCAGTCCCTCAGGGCGCCGCAGCCCAACGCCCGACACGCGTCCACCCTTCCGGATGGGTACCTGGAGCCTCCATGTTTCTGGGTGGCCGCAAGCGCCGGCGGAACCGCGGTGGCGGGCGGCTGCGAGGTGCGGGCGGCCAGCCGGGAGCCGGCTCTGCAGTCCCGCAGGCGGCGCGTACGGAGCGCCTGGCCGCCGCCCGCAGCCGCACCGCGCCGCACCGCGCCACGCAGCGCCGCACCTGGCCCGGCTGCGAACTCGAATTAAAGGGGCCGACTGGGGTCGGAGCCAGCGAGGCGCCCGCCGCCGCCGCCACCGAGCTGGCCGCTTGGCCGAGCCCCCGGGCCTCGGCCCCCACTCCACCAGGAAAACAGCCCCTTCTTTGGCAGAGGCCAGCTTACTAACTAGAACTCGTGGAGAACTCCGCCGGGTGCTGCTGGGCCCGGGGAACAAGGGGAGAAGTTGAGGAGCGGCCAGGGGGGTTCCTGCCAACGTAATGAAGTAGGCAAGGAGGAAACACTGGAGAGCTGCCATCCCCGGCCCGGGAGGGATCCAGCCCCCGGGACAGGTGTTACGATCATTACCATGCTGCCAGACCGAATCTAAAGATCCCTCTTGGTCCCCTCCTGCAGCTCTACCTCCACCACCCTCTTACCCTGCCATAGCTTTGGCTCCCGGAACGCAGCAGGTGCGGGCCGCAGTGTGGCAGAAACTTGCTGCTGCGTTGGCCCCACCGGGAGGAGCCGCAGGGACAGCGGAATTGCAGAGCCCGTCCTGCAGACCCCTCCCCCAGGGCCGGGGCAGGGAAGGCTGGGGGATCTGCAGCGGCCCTAGGGAAAGGCTAGCTACTCACTGACCAGACCCCTCACAGACCTTACACAGCTGGCTGGAACTGGGGGCGCGCGGAGGGGAGGGGTGTCTGACATGGAGAGTGCAGCTCACAGCATCCTGGGGCCGGCCAGAGAGGATACCCTTTGCTCTCAGAAGAATGTGTATGGGAAGCACAGCCTGCCCGCTGCTCAGATGGGGGAACTGGGCGGGTCCAGAGTACTCTTGGGAGCCACCCCACAGCCCCAAGCCCCCGAGAGTTCTGTTCTCCAGAACTGCAATGCAGAGGCCCAGGAAGGCTCCTGCTGGGCTCTCGTTGCTCAGAGAACCTCCTCTCCGGGCCTGTAGCTTGTGATGGAAGCTCCCAGAGCCCAGAAGGTCCAGCTCTGAAGGATTCTGCCCTTTCATTCGGGTGGTCTACCCAGAGCTGCCTGGGAGGGGGGTGGTCTGGGAGGCAGTGACCTCAGTGAGCTCTTGGGATGACAGATGACTATAAGGCAGGGCTGGTTTGGTTTTGGGCTCCTTGAAGCTGGGCTGTCCATGTCCCAGCCAAAGTATGGCCTGGGTATTTTAAAGCCAGCCAGGCTGAGACCTTAAATCCCTGCCTAGTTACTAGGAAAATTAAGTCATGTTTCTGGACCTTGGTGTCCTCATCAGCAAAATGCAGATACCTCATGGCTTGTTGTAAGGGTGAAGTTATTTATGTAAAGACTTTAGCACCCAGCAGACACTTCACTCTGTTTCCCTGCGAAATTCCCCACCTAACTCCTGGCCTCCAGCTCAGCTTCTGGCTGTGCCTCTACATGCCAGTCACCAGGTTTTTGTTGGCCATTCTCTCTGCTTATGGGCTTGCCTCGCCCCTCACTCTCCCTAAGGTCTCAGCCATTCCCACCTCTGTCACCCCAAACCTGCTGCACAGTCCTGGAAGCCTCTCAGAGCCAGCACCCCAGGGCTGTCTCTCCTGGCCGCATTGGGTTCTCGTGTCAGTTAAAGCCCAAAGGTGGTGTCTAGATATTTTCTTCTTTCTCCTGTGTTGAAACAAAAGACACAGGCAAAGAGAAACCCTTCAGGGAGAATTAATAATCGTGCTAATTGGCGACATGTGCTTTCCATGTGTCGGACACTGCTAAGTACCTCCAGCCCAGTGAGACGTTTGAGCCCTGCAGCTCTAGTAGTTTCTACATCACTGCCATTCCAGGGAAAGGAAATCGAGGCAGAGAGAGGTGAAGCGACCTGCCCAAGGTCACTAAGTGATGGCTCCAGGACTTGAATGAGGTCTTTGAGACTCTGGGACACATACCCTCAGCCCTGACACTTTAGTGCTTGAATGAGCAGTACTTGAAGTTCATCGCCCTCTTCAGGTTCTTCCCTGACCCGGTTCACCCGATGGCCTGAGGGGTATGACATCCTACCTCTCCCTTTAAAGCCTAAGTCTGCACAACATCAAAAAAGGAATTAACTAAAGAAGGAAATATTAAACAAACAAACAAACAAACAAAAAACACGTAACAACGGTTGTTTGGTAGCATGAGATGTAGCTCTCGCGCCAAAAGTTCTTTTGGTTTGGCAGTGCTGGGTAAGAAAAACATGGACCCGATTCCTAGCTCTGACCCCTGCTAGCTGTGTGAACTTGAGCCAGTTATTTAAACGCTCTGCTCCTCAGTTTGCTAACTTGTTGAGTGGGCCAGCAAATCACTCCCAAGTGGTGAGGATGACATGAGTTACAAAGACTGGACAGCCAGCTCGCTTAACCTAGGGGCGTAGTCACTGTCAGCTCATTTTCCAGTCATCGTTTCTTAGTTTTGGCCACAAAGGAACAGCTGGAGTGCCCCTTGACCCCTTCCGTGGGGTGGGTTAAGCCCCAGCCCCCCTTCCCCTTCAGTCTAGCTCCTGCTTGGGGACCATGCCCTGTCTTC